TGAAGCTTTGCTCATAAGCTAGGTTTGACCATTTCTTTTATAGTCTAGTACAAGGGGGAGGCAACTATGATTGCCTTCCACCATAATTACCATACTTGTATATATTTTGTTTTATCAGATTATTAATTTGGAGCTTTATTTATTTTATTTTTTTATTATTTGTTTGTCACAAGTTCTTTTGTATTGTTTCTGTTTTTTGTTTTGTTTTTGTTTGTTTGTTTTTTTTGTTTTTGGTTTTTTTTTGTTTTTTTTTTTTTTTGTTTTTTTTTTTAATACGAGTAAATTTTGAATCATTGCAAATCCTGCCTGAGTTTTTCTCATTACAGAACCTCTGGAATCATATTGGTTTGTTGTGTTTGTGCTGTTATTGTTCTTGTTTCCACATATGTCAGTTTTGCACCTACCTGCCAAAATCAAACTTGATCAATCTATAAAAATATCTATATTTCTCTTTATTTTCAATCAATCAATTATTTTCAGAGAATTCTTAAATTCGCTGCAAAAAGAAAAAAAAAAAACATTCATAATAGTATTAAGCTAAGGGGACATGACTCTTCCATTTGTTCCAATATTTAAATCTTAAGATTAAAATAATTCAACTATCTGCAAAATTTTAAGATTATACACTAAACTAGATTTTCTTACAAGCTTTTTGATGATGTGAATTATTTTCCTTCAAGTGCCATTTAGCTTTAAACAATGCTGAGATTACCCACAAATTTTGGTATTTTAGTGTTTAAAAAATAGAAAACTTCCATTTTTATATAATGTTCTCATGGCTAGAGCATTGTTTTTATGGCTTTTCAAACAAGAAAATAATTCAAATTTATGATATCGATTTGAAAAGCCTCTTCTCAAACGTTGGTTAAGAAAATATAGTTTTATTCTGCAAATCTTAAGTAATTCTTATAATATTTTTCCCCTTAAATTTAAAAAGTTCAAATTTATACTAATTCATTTTTAACTTGAATGCTTCTCTGACCTTTTTCCCTATTTGATGCCTACAAATTCTTTATACTTGATCATTTTCTTTCCACATAAATTATAAGATTTCACTTTACATTTTCAGTCTTTATTGATCCATTCCTGCTTGGTTTGTAGTTGAATAATTTTTTTCTTGCTATAATTCTTTATTATACAAATTGTACTTACTGATTTTGAGCTGGAGTCATAGTCCTTTGAAAACCTAGAAATTTCTGTTAAATGTTACAGTGAAGACCTTTGTTCCTGAACTTGTGTTAGGGGTGGAGGGTTGCTTATTTTTATTTTTTATTTTTTACCCTCTGAGAGAGAAAAACTATTATTGCAACTTTCTGAAAATCTACAGGTAGGGTTTTAAGCTAGTTCCTTCTGAATGATACCTTATTTAAAAATCATTATAAACACCTGGAAAGATTTATATAGTGTGCATTTTATACGCAGATATTGCACACCAGAATGCTTCTTCAGTGATGTCTATTCTGGAGTGATACAAAGTTTTGGGTCGTCATAGCATCAGACTTTTTTCTCCCATGGACCCAGTTGAGAGCAATTGTTTTCCGACTAGCATTCTGGCATAGCTTCCACATGATTGCAAGAATTGTAACTATTTGTGCCCACACAAATGAGGTCCTTTTTATTCGATTCTATGTTGGAATTCTGACCAATCAGGATTTGTTGAATTTTTTTCTTCTGACTATTGACCAATCAAAGGGGCAGATTCCAATTTGCCCTTAACCATTATTCAAAGTGTGTGTGTGTGTGTGTGTAAAATATTTATTGCCTAAGCATTAATAACAATTATTTTTATAAAAACTTAAATGAAAAACTATCCTAGCAAAGAAAAAAATTAAATGTCCATGAATAAATAAAAATAGATCACATGTCTGGAGCTGGATGAAAACCAGACTAAGTCTGCAACAGATAAAGATAAAATGAAGAAAAGGACAAAATGATCATGATGCACATCTGTACAGACGTTTGTGTGGACACAACACAGAGAATACACGCAGATGAAAATTTACACGTGTTAAATGTGTATAAAAATATAAACAGTAAATTGAAGAGTGAATGAACAGATCTGTCTATGAAACTCTAGAGTCAGAATGCTGAAGGTAGCATCAAGTGACAAATTTTACTCCTATTAATTTTTTTTTTTTACTTAAATATCATGTAAAAAGATCATGAGTTTGTTTTCCATTGATGAAATTTTTAACTAAATATCTGCTTTATATAATAGAATAAAAATTCAGTTGAGCTAACCTGTGTTTGTAACATAGATTTCCTGTTCAAAGTTACTAATCCTATGTGCCAAGTTCAAATACCAGTCAATATTGTTACATTCATTTTCACACTTTGGGAAAGGGATTAGTCTATCTCTTCTTCCTAGCTCCAATCATGAGTTAAATAGCAGGGCAAACTTGGCTCTCTCTAGCCATGTTTGGCAACCAGTCTAGGAAAGGACGTTTGAATTCAAAAACCATATATAGCCCTAGCAAAGCAAGTATTATGCAGCCATTGAAAAGATAATGGAGTTTAAACTAACTGCACTCACTCAGGTAACTAACTAACTAATCTGTCAGAGATAAAGTAAAGGTCCAATTTAAAATATTTAAATTGAAAATTAAACCCCTTACTAAAATTTTTACAATTGAATAAAAAGATTGTTTTGCTGACCTGACAGAAAAATCATTATATTTACATTGTAAATCTGTTGTAACCTAGAAAAGGTTACTGAATGAGGAATAACCAAAATGAAGGTTGGAGATAAAATTGTCATTTTTATAACCTCAACAAAATACAATACTCGCCAGCAGGCTGAAGTAGGCAAACCACTGCTAGTGGTGGACTACTTAAAGAACATATTACCCCCACTTACAATAGTGTCCAACGTATTTATGAGGATTGGGACATACCCATTAGTGTTCATAGGTACGCTATATAATAAAATCCTTGCTAAAAAGTGAAACAGTTTAGATATTTTCAAGAGCTAAAATAATAAAAAGATTTTCTATAGTCCCATTAGTAAACTGGAAATTTGGTGGTCATAACTCTAGCTATTCTTGAACTAAGTGATGAAGTAAGTGATGACACACAAAAGCCATTTGATGAATTATTGTAAGGTTCTTTGATTCCTTCTGCAAGAAAGTTTTTTTTGTTTTTGTTTTTTTTTTTCTGCCAGTACCGGCTTTAAACAAGTCATGTAGAATTGTACTATTTCTCTCTACAGTTTATGAATTTTTCAGTCTCAGGTCAGAGTTCATTTCCTGCATTATATTTTTTCTTTAAAAAAAAAGATATATATTCATATGTAATATATTCATATTTTTCTAGGAAAAATTCAATTCAGTGTCAATTTTTAACACTGTTGAAATTGTTTCAGTAATTCTTTTATTTGTTAATATTTCTGTGAAATAATTTGTTATAAATTGAAAAAATTGAAATCGAATCTTTCATTTGTGACCAAATGATGAACACCTAAATAAAAACCCAAAAAACAGGATGTTAAACAAGTTCTTTTTAGCACTACTTATTTTTATAGATGATCAAAATTCCCATGTCTGTCTACCACATATGTGTGTGTTGTGTACTTGATCAGTTGTTTGTTTTTCATTATTTTGTTTGCTTTTATTGTTTTTCTGTTGTCTGTTGCATTGTAATTTTGAATGTATGTATCTTTTGTCTTGTAATTTGTTTCAACATAAATTGTCAAATATGTGATTTAGAAAAAAAAAATATGATAACCAGTGTTAGTGCTAAAATAACTAAGAATTGTTTAACACCATACAAGGGTATCATGGTTTAAATTTAAAACGCTGTACTTTCCAAACATATAAGGCACACTTTAAAAAAAAAAAAAAAAAAATCCCCTTCAGTTCACACCATAATGTTTGGATTTTGGTTCTAGAATAACACCTAACCACTCAGTTTCATACACAAGTCTTCTGGTGACCCCCCCCCAAATTACATTATGATTAAAAAAAAAAAAAAATGTTATGTAAATATAGAGAAATCATCACTTGAATTTTTTAACCCTTTCCAAAATAAAGCTGTGTGTTATATGCTGGAAAATATGGTAATTTGATTTTATTTATATATATATATATATATATATATTATATATATATATATATTGCACTATTAGCATCTTCTCTGATTAATTATACCAAAAACAAAAAGATTAATTTCTGATATATGGAGTTATCATTATTTACATTTGGACTTTATTATTATTGTCAGTACACCTCATCTCAGCCTTCTTCAGATGTCTCTCAATCAAGGTAACCTTCTGGAAATTTAAAACTGAACCCTTTATTTAATCAGTGTGGATAAGCTGTTCTTGTTCTGCTTACTCTGTTCAGAGATATCTCGTATTGTTCTTTTTAGAACTGCTCCATTATTAGTCCACCCAATTTCCATTGCGCTTAAGTCTGCACTACCTGGCCTAAGAATTATTATGCCACCTGGGCCATTCCTACTTAGTGGAAGTAGCACTGTGAGAGGGAGTGGAGATATCTTTATAGGCAGTGGAATGAGAACAATCTATCTTGTAGATTAAATAAAGGGTTCAGTTCAAAATTCTCTGAAGGTTACTCAGATCAAGAGATACCTGAAGAAGTCTGGTGGGCACAATGGCCGAAACGTCATAATAACAAAATAATAGTCAGAAAGATGAAGTGGAAATAACTTTTTCTCTTTGCTCTGATATTTAAATTTATTTAAAGACAGCTGGTTAATTGTTTCAATGTTTGTGAAATTGTCTTGTCTGAAAAGTTTTTCAAAAAAAAAAAATCATTTATGTTCTTTGATAAGTTTTGTCTTTTTCTTCTTTCTTTTTTTTTTTTTTATGGAAGCAGGCTAAACAATTGAACGAATAAGTTTTTACTTGTAATCAATCCAGTTGCTTATATTTCCATTTAATAAGACTTATTTTTGCATTAAATTACATATAGAAACTAAAAATGTAATTGTTAATCATTTTGTCCATTGTGTTCTGATTAGTTTTTAATTTATTTTTGCAGTATGATATAAATGATGTGTCGGTCAGTTCAGGTAAGTATCTTTTTTTTTTTCCTTTCCTTTTAATTTGAAATATTATTTTTTCTTTAAACCATAAGTTTTGGAACTTGAAAATCTTTCATCTCTTTAATAAACTTTATTTTCACCAGTACTTATCACTTCTGCCACTGTAGACAGATCTTTACAAAACTTTGCTCGCACACATTGACACACACACACACACACACACACACACACACACACATGTGCACAGTTTTGTATCCAAAGAGAAATCTTTCTTTTAATAAGATTTCTCAAACATTCAGGCCAGTAGAAAAAAAGTAAATATATATGCTGATTAATAAGTAAATGGAGTGCCTACACAAATACGAGTATACACAAAAAATAACATTCAATGCTATATTTATTGGGTTGAAGTGCTCAATATCAAGGGTAGTGTGTGTATATATATATATATATATATATATATATATATATATATATATATATATATATATAATAATACAGGGTGTCTGAGAAATTGTTGTCTGCGTCTTTATAAACAAATTTTAATAAATTGTGCATTCCTGTGATGGGATCTTACTAATCAGGCAACTCAGAAAATTTCCAGACTAGGCTGAAACGAATAAAATGTAAAAAAAAAAAAAAAAATTTTTTTTTAAATATATTACTTCAATCTGGCCCCCATCCCCTTCAGAACAGTCCTCCTTCAAAATCCCAACTGGAAAGGCAAATTTTACACCAAGATACAGGGTTGAAATTTAGGGAAGAAATTCTAGAATCAAAAATGTTCTTTGGAAATCTTTTCTGTGAAATCAAAATACAAGTTATTAATTATATAATGAATTTCTTAAAAATGATCAGAATTCTAAAAGATTCTGTAACTGCTTCAAGGATTGCTCAGTGATAGTCCCCCATTAAATTTTTCTTGAAATTTTACTGGTGGTGGTCAAGTACTCTGACAAACTTTGAGCACCCTGAATATTTAGTATCCTGAACTGATATTTGATTGGCTTTGGAATGTGTGCCATTCAAACACCTGCATTCAACGTATAATAGTTCAACGTACAAATAGTCACCATAAGCACAGCCATTTCAGCACATTTATAAAAAACATCCTTCTATGTGTCTGTGTCTGTTCTTTTTAGTTGTTACAGCTATTTTTTTTTATAAACCTTATGTAACAATTTAGCCATTTTTAAGGATTAAATATTTTAACTGTTGAATAAGAAATAGTATGTATGTTTTATAAAAATGTTTTCATTTTTCAAAACACAGTCAAGATATTGTATCCATGTTCACAGTTAATATTATTGTTTTTTTTTTTTGTTTTTTTTTTTTTATTAATAAGGCTTCCATTATTTTTAGCTTTTTTTTTTTTTATTTAACAGTTAAAACATTTAATCCTTGAAAATGGCTAAATGTGTAGCTGAATGCGTTTGGATGAAAAGAACATTCGGACAGTTTTTATATAATTTATCATCTGAAAAGAAAAAAATTATTAGATCGCATGAGAAATTGCATTAAAAAAACTAAATAAAAGCACCTTGTCTGTTGAATTCTATGAAATGTGCATATATTTCATATATTTTCACCCCAAGCAAGGCAACTAAGACACAATGGGCTACTGGGAGTGAAAGAGAATGAGAAGAAACCCAATCCTAAACAGGAAACACTGGATAAACTTCTACTCATGTTAAAAAAAACAAAAAAAAACAGAAGAGTGTGAACCAGACATATCCTAAAAAATGAAATGCCAGAAAAATGATGTTATACTTGTATTTATTTATTCCAAGGCAAATAACATAGACCCATTGCATGTATGTAGCAATACGGTGAATGGAAATTATGGAAAATGAAGACTTCTGGAAAATTTTATTGTAAATAAATTACAACTGGAATTAGATAAAGATAGACACACAACTTTTGGGGGCCTTGTGCCAAGTTTGTGATTTTGCAAATATAATTTATAAAAATTAAAAACACTTTTTTTCTGTGATTTAAAATAATAAGGATTTTTCGTTCTATTTAAGAGTGCTTGGAGAATTTGATGCTCACAGAATATATTGAATGCAAGAGGGACAGGAGACATAGCAAGTAACGTTTGTGTAAATGGTTGGCAGAACAGGAATTGAAGGATAGTGGAAAGATGAAGCTTACTAAGAGCTACAAAGGATAGGAAGTTGTGGAGAGCCATGACTACCCATGTCCTGAAGGGATACAACATATAGAAGAAGAAATCTTATGTTTTGTAACTGAAATCACTTTTGCTTTAGTAATTGAATTAAAAAAGCGAAATATCTGAGATGTAAATAAACCTGGAATGTTTATTATCTTACTCCTAACACAATTGTGCAACTAATTTTTTCATAACCAGCTCATTGTTTAACTTGCTTTCACCCTTGGAAATTTCTTCATGTGCCATGTCCCTTCAGGACGTTGGCAATCAAGGCCCTCCACATCTTCCTGTCCTTTATAGCTCTTAATAAATTTTGTCTTTGTTATTTCTATCATCCATTTACTCAAGCCCATCGAGTATGTTATTCGCTGTTTTCTTCTGTCCCTCTTTCCCTCAATCTGTCTTCTGAGTATCAGATTTTCCAAACCCTCCTTCCTCATTACATGTACCAAAGATTTCAACTCTCTTTTCCTGATGTTAAGTATAAGTTTCCTTTTTGTTTCTATTTTCTGTAAAACTTTGTCGTTGCTTGTATGTTCAATCCATGGTATCCTCAGCACCTTTCTGTAGAACCACATTTCAGTTTCAAGTCTCTTCATCTTCAAGGAGAAAAATTACCTATTTTATAGACATGAAAAAAACATCTTAAGTAATTGAATACCAAATTTTAAAATACCATTATGGATGACTTGTTTCAGGCATTTCAAAATTTGGAGCAATTTTGAAGATAGAGGATTTTTTTTTTTTTTTTTTTTTTTTTGATTTTTTAAGACTGCAAATATTCTGAAGCCATTATATAAAAGTTGATGAGCCTTGTAAATATGTGCTTTATTTTATGTTTGCCACAAAAAATGATTTGTATTTAATTTTAATTCTACGACTCAAACTAGTATCCTTATCTTTGTTGTTTTTTGTCACATTCAAGGATCTCGTGTCTTTTCAGCTCTGTTTGTCTCTTTTCTGCCCCCCTTCACTTCTCTGTTCTGTCATCCATTTACACAAGCTCATTACTCACTGTTTACCTCTTTCTCTCTTGCCTTCAACATATCTGACCTCTGACCCATTAATTATGCAAATCTCGTTTCTTAAACATTAGAAACAGAAACAAGTTTTTTTTTGTTTTTTTTTTATCAGTCGTTTTTATTATACATGCTTCAACTAGTAGAATGTTCAAAATTGGTAATAAAGTAACTTTTAACAATTACTCTTTGCTTAAAGCAAAATTTTGCACTTTAGCATGACCAAGTCCAAGCTTATTTACAGTCTATTAATTTTCTTTTGTAAACTAAATGTCGATTCCCAATTGGAGGGGAAACTGTTTTCATGATAGCAATTGAATAAATGCATTTAAGTTCATACATCTCTAAGAGATACATGAACTCATTATGTGTTTGATACTACTACCAATATTAGATTTACATGAGGAAATATAATTTTCACTTTTGTTTGTCTTCTTTTGTGTTGGGGGAATATTTGAACATTTAACTTTCTACCATGAAAAATGTGTTTACAGCCGCCACATGTTGAAACATCAGTTCCCGTACGATCACCCAAGTTAAGCAATGTCAGTAGGTAGATTGATGATCACTTGGGAATACCAGATGCTTTAAGCTTCCATGTGTGGGTGGTGTAATGGCTCAGAATTGTTAATTAGAGAGCCAAGTTCCAATTCCCATTGGGTTCATTATATTCACTTGCGAGCAAATTGAGACTTGGGGAGGGTATGAATCCCCTTCTTCTCCCTCTCCCCTGCAGCCACGGGTTTATTAATAAAACTTGTATCAACATTGTAGAGCCATTATATCAAAAAAATAAAAATAGATAAAATTTTATACAAAAGATTTAGATTTCGGCATTAAATAACCCATAGAGGTGTTGAAATGGCGCTAAACAAAAACAATCAATCATGGATAATGGGTCCTGTTAAAAGTTCTCATTTCTTATTTAGAGGTCTAAATTAATGTCAAGTTCAGATGTTAGCAAACACCGAGAAAAAAAGAAAAAAACAAAATTCATAGATTTCATTTATTCTTTTATGTGTGTGTGAAGATTGCATATTTGCATGAAACTCCTGCTGTCAACATGGGATATTATATATATTCCCTTATATATATATATATCACTATTATATATATATATATATATATATATATATATATATATATATATATATATATAGTGATGTCAAAGATAGTATGAAGCCAAAAATATTGACAATCAATGGGATATTGAGAAGAATGACATTTAAGGCAAGCAGCCTTTGCAGTAAAGTGCTTGATATTAAAGATAGACCATTTAGAATTAGTATAAGTAAAAGTTTGTCACTTAACTGATTGATGTTACCTTCAGCATTACAAATCCAGAGTTTCATAGGTGGACTTGACTTCCACTCTTCAGGGGATGCCAGCCTTTTACTGCTTATTTTTTTTTTATACACTTATCATTGGTGAAAGTTTTTTCCGTATTGTTTATTAGTTTGAGTGTGTGTGGTCATGCAGTTGTCTGTGTGGATGTACTTTTGCGCAGGGTGTCATTTCTTTTTTTTTCTCTTTTTTTTTCATATTTTGTAAGACATTTATGGGATTTCTACAGTTAGATAATTTTTCATTATTATTGATTTTCATTCTGGAATCACTATCATTATGATTTTGGTTTAAATATTTATTTAAAATTTTTTTTTTTTTATATATATAATTTTCAGTACAACTATAACTTAATTTTAGCATATTTTTATTGAAAATCTTGCTAAGAGGATTATTTCTTAGAAAATGTTTTTCGATCAAAGTAAGAAACTTTTGCCCTAACTTTTTTGGTTAAAAGTGGGTATGTACCAAATGATTTTTCTATTTCTTCTCTGGTTATTTTTATTATCCTTATTATATTTAATATTGGGGCATTTATAGCGACTATTCTTTAAAGCTTTATAATAAAAATTACAATGATTGTAAAATATATCTTCATTTGTAGAATTTATACTAATTCATTTCTCTATGGATGAGGGTAAAGATGGTGGGATGATTTGACTTCGGATGGCTAAAGGATTGGTATTTGGTTTCTTATATGGTTGGTATATATTTTTCATTAAGTCTAATATCACATCAAGGAAGTTTACCTTTTTTTAATTTTGTGCATAAAATTTTTAGATTGGATTTTTATTAATCTCAGACTTGTATAACTAAGCCATTTAGCCAAAGGGTGCAAATTTTTCTTTAATAAGACTTCTCAAATATTCAGTGTGGTAGGTGAAAATATAGTGTTTAATAAATAAATAGATCCTACTCAAATAGTAAAAAATAAAATATCCACTAAAAATAACAAATGCGTATGTACAGTATTCATGTATATTATTTTTTTATTTGGCTTTCTTTTTCTTTCCTTAATTAAGCCAAATTTATTACCTGCTGAATCTTGACAAATCTGTTGACTAAATCAGTTAAGATTTTGCTAAGATTTCAAATTATGAGCACCAGTGTTTCTTTTCCTTTTTTTCATTTGTCAAGATCTTTTTCTTTTCTTTTCAATACTATTCATATAATTTCTCTAATTTGCAACATTTATTTAATTTTTTTTTTTTTTTTTTTAACAGTAAATGAGGTCACAAATTCTGGAAATCTGGCAGGTTCTGACCAGAGCAAAAGTGATAATGCCACACCTGTTACGAGAAACCTGGCATTATGGCTGGTGAGTTGCCTTTTTTTCTTTTATTCTTTTTTTATTTCCCTGTTCAGTCCATGGTATCCTCAGCATCTTTCTGTAGAGCCACATTTCTGTTGCTTCAAGTCTCTTCTTACTGTACTCAAATCATTTGGCAGTGGAGGAGAGCTTCTTCATCTTACTTTTAACTTTGGCAATGAAAGCATATATAGAAAGTAAGTACTAAAATTTCCACCTTTCATTTGCTCACAGGCAAGTCTGTCCAGAAATGTAAAAAAACAAAAAAAAACAAATCCTGCCAAGGCCAATGGTATTTTTAGTCCCCTTCAAAATACTCCCCCTATCTCGGCATACTTCCCACTTTTCAAGTCTTCTTTTGAGATCTTAATGTTCTCTTTAATCTGATGTCGCAGGAAGCTGAATATAGAAGTTGGGCTGCTGATGAATCTTTTTTTCTTTTGTTTTCTTATAAAGATAACCTACACAAAATGTTGCTCAGTCATTGTGGTCACAGAGCACACTAGCTTGGTAAAAGCTTTTTAAAAAAAAAAAAATTAAGTAACCCTGTGCCTGCATAGTAACTGTCACCAAAGTGGTGACAGTTCCATCAAGACCATTAAACAGGTTCAAAATAGCAGGGCACTTTCCAGACAATCATTATAATCTTCAGGGGAAAAAAATCTTGGACAGGATATTTGATTAACATTAGCCCAAGAAAGTTCCATGTTTTCTACTGTCACCAGTGGTTTGTATATTTTTAAAGAGCCAGGATCTCAGCAAGAGGTTTTTCAAAGCAACTGAAGTATCCACTTGTGTGTAATAGTCTATTTCTTCATATTTAATTTGGCCCATTGGCAGAATAAGTTCACTGGCCAGCAAAATACATGTCTTTGTTGTACTCTCATGAAGTTGAACCAGCACAGAAAATGGAATTGATATTCAGTTTTGAATTTGGTTGCTTGCCAATGTTTGCCTTGGACTTACTCTTGGAAAAGATAGAAACCAACATTTTGTTTGTCATCTAATGAATGAATAGAAGACAAGGAATAAAAACAAAAAAAATGCTTACACACTGACATTCATACCATAATAGTTGGGGGGGGGGAGATATTTCATGGTAATTGTTCTGATGAGCTTTCTTATTTGGTACATAGTTTTTATAAAATTAAGTGCAGTACTAAATTGGTGGTAACATCTCATCCTTTTACAACTGAAATGGCTAGATGTAACCGTATGTTCTATGCTAACAGTTTCTTTCACAATTCTCACTTGGGGAAATCTCTTCCAGCTTTTTGCTTCCCAGACCACTTTAATCTTCAAAAATTTAAATGCAATTGTTATCTTCTGTCTTCTTAATTCTTGTTCGTTTATTGTTCTTGCTCCTTAATAGTGATTTTTTTCTCATATTCTCTAACACTTGGTAACGGTTTGCATCTTCATGGCTTTATTTACACTGATACAATTGTAAGGACCAACAGTCTAATTAGGAAACTGTTAAAAATCTGAATTCAACTAATTTTCCTCTTGAGAGATAAATTGTCAAATATGCATATTTGATAATTTCTGTAAAACTGAAAAATCTTGCTGGATAAAAGATTAGTTTTCCTTTTTGGAGTTACCAAAATTTTTCTCACAACTCGACCCAAGACACAGTAACATTGTTGCTAGTTAAAATTTCTTAGGTACAAGTATGTAGCTTTGCATTTCTTTCTACAATGCAACTGCAATGTTATTGGTCCTGGCCTGGCATCTCAATTTTAGTCTTTTTTCACCACAGTGACATAACATGCCTGTATCTTCTCTAGAAATATTTTCATGACCTTTCCTCTATGGTACCTAGACTTTATGAATTGAAGCACACTATTACTACATTGGTGTCAAGGTCTTGTCATTTCACAGTTGAAATGGCTGCTAGATGTAACCGTATGTTCTATACTTAAAGTTTCTTCTCTCATACTTGTTGCTTGTGAAAATCTCTTTTGGCTTCTTGCTTTCCAGTTCACTTAGATCTTCAAAAATTTAAATGCAATGTCAATCATTATCTTCTGTCTTAATTCCTGTTCTTTTAATGTTCTCTCCTTAATGGGTTTTTATTCATATATTGTCACCCCCTTGCATCTTAGTGATTTTATTGCTTTGCTTGGGGTTAAAATGAGATATATATTTGGAAAGTGCCTAAAAACCATACCATGGGTTGATCCAAACCTTGTGAGTGAAATTGGGTAAATGGAACTCTTGTGGACTGTCAATAGCTGTGCTAGCACAAAGCCACAAGTCATCATATCCGAGGGATTGAGCATGCTAGCCTTGTTCAAACTGATGATCACACTAGATAACACGCTCTCTCCCGTAACTGTAACTGAGGTCTGCTCAGCATAGTTGCAGTATAAAACACAGTTGGGCTTTGTGGGTGTTGAGCAAACACAAATGTGCCTGAGTGGGCGTCTGCAGTAGGGATTGTCTAGCCACCCTAGTAGGCGGGTATCCTCAAATACGAGTGGACAATTTTAAGGAGCATTTGGGTAGACCATTTTATATACTACTTTACAGTAGTCAAAAGATGTACCAGCTATCAACCTTGACAGGGACTCTTTGCATTCCCTATCACACACCCTCTTTTAATCAGAGATGAGTTCTTCTAATAAGCTTGTAATAATGTATATTACATTTTTTGCAGAAGTCAAGTTTTTGCTTTTTGCTTATTTCTTTGTGTTTTCTTTGTGTCTTTGCAGCCATCATAGCAGGTGCCGTTGTTGGTTTATTTGTATCAATTCTGCTGGCTATGTTCGTGGTGTACCGGATGCGGAAGAAAGATGAGGGCAGCTACCCACTGGATGAGCCATGCAAAAACAATTACACATACACAAAGGCCCCAGACAAGGAATTCTATGCTTGAACATGAGGGGTCCTCACATGTTTCAACCATTATTTTCATGCAATGTGCCCTCAAGTTGCACTTGCTGCTGCCGCTGCTGCTGCTGTAGTAGCCACCCTTGCTATTACTACAATTAACTGTTATTATTACTACTACTACTACTACTATTACTACTACTACTATCTCTACTCCAAAAGGTTCTAAACTGCTTTTATCAGGCAGGAACATTTTTTTTTTTTTTTTTTTTTTTTTTTTGACAGATTGTAACAAACATTTTTATGAAACCATTTTATCCTTTTAAATTAGTTGAATTTCCTTTATAACAAGCATGAATGAGGTGAGTGATTGTGCGGTGAACATAAAATGATATGAAATGAATGTAAATACAATTTTGAAGGAAAGAGGAAAAAAAAAAAAAAAAAAAAAAATACCCCACCTTCCCCCACAAAAAAATATCAAATGGAAAAAAAAAAAATCATCATATAGCCAAATGAATGTATAAACACAGTTAAAGAGGTACATATTTTGAGGGTGGGGGGGATTACAAAGGGATAGTATGTAAATACCAAGAGATGGACAAAAAAAAAAAGAAGTAAAGAAACCTGGTGGATATATGCTTTTGGAATTACCTGCACCAATTGTGACATTGAATTCATGGAAATTGGTGGAGAAGTGGGGGGGGGAGAAAGAACGAACTGCAGATTGTTTATTATTGCAGTAAGCTTGGCTTCACTCCTTTCTGTGTAGGAAATGCTTCATTTTCTTGAAAATATATTGCAGGTTTTTCAAACCCTCCCCCCCCCCAAATAATAAAAAAGAAAAATGTTCTCTTCAAAATATTGTTTTTTAAAAAAACTGTTAAAAAAAAATTTTTTTTACTCTCTTTAAACTACTTAACTGAAGGCTAATTTTTTTTTTTTTTTTTAGAAAAAAAAAAAAATACCTTTTAGCCAATTAATCACCCACCTGTGCTGTACACACACAAATACACACATATATATATATATATATATATATATATGCAACCATCTGATCGTTTTTAAGAAATTGATTATAAAATGAATAATTTGTATTTTGCTTGCACAGAAAATATTTCCAAAGAAAATTTGATTCTAGAATTTTTTCCCTAATTTTTAACCCTGCATTATCAGAAGAAAATCTAGAATTTTTCATGGAGTTCTTAATTTCTGTTTCATTATCATTTATTTCCCTGGCTAGGTAGTTTCCAAATATTTTTAGCAAATATCATTTGGTAAAAATAATGACATATGGTTAAATCTTAATCCTAGATAAATTTATGTCTGCTATCTGAGTTTTTTACCTGACTAAAAATGTGGAACCTGCCTTGTTTCACTGAAGCTGATTGAAAATTAATTTATACTCTTTTGTTATATTACCTCCAACAGATATTTCTTTGAACAAAGCTGCTCTCCAAAGAGTAACTGCTTTTCATATCAGTTCAAATGCTTCAATTCTGGGCTGTGAACATTAAAATAGTTCAGACATCAAAAAAAAAATAAAAATATCACACCATTTCCTTTATTCTTTCTTTCTTTTTCTCTCTTTATGCTGTTATTTTTCCCGTCCCACAAAATGTCTTTTTGTGTAAAGTTTCCAAATGGAAAACTGTTTTAATGAAACTTTCATATAAATTCAGTTCGAAACAGCAATTATGATTCTATTCAAGATGCACTGGTGTAATGAAATTAAAATGCATGAAAAAGATGGCTAAGGATTTTAACTAGTATTTTGCATAGATTTAAAGTGTCGATATTTTAACAGACTTTGCAAAATTATTTGTCTGTGTGTAAATTAATTAGAAAGAAAATTGGGAGGAAGTCTAAAAAAAAAAAAAAAAAATGTTTAAAATAAGCATTTAAGGCTTTGTGTTGAAAATTCCTTTTTTGCTGCTGCTCCTTCTCAGTGGGAAAGGAACAACTGACAAAGTTAACAAGGAAAAATTTTTATATATATATTTTTTTTTTTTTTTTTTTTTTTAACCTTACCCACTCCCACATTTAAAAAAAGAAAAAAGTCATTTCATCCCCCCCCCCACCTCCACCAAAAATGGCGTTGTGACTGTGGCCCTGTGACTTTTGGTTTCAAACTTACAACCAACTCTTTGTCAATTTACCTCTTCAACATTTTAAATAACCTAAGATGGAAGTCAGGTGGACGACAATGAACTGGATCAATTCCTGCTGTAGGAAATCAAAATATTTGCTTCCCTCTTTAACTATTTGCAAAGGTTTTTTTTTTTTTTTCTTTCTTTGTTGTTGGTTTTTTTTTTTTTTTTTTTTTTCCTTTTAGAATAAAAAAAAAAAAAAAAAAAAAAAGCAATTGGTGAACAAGTATCCAAATATATTATTTTTTTAATGCGCTTCCCTGATTGGGGTTTTTTGTTTGCACATTGAAAATGGGAACATTATTATTACTATTATTATTATTATTATTGTCAAGGCTAAGTCTGACAAAAAAAAAAAAATGTCTGGGCTACAATTTGTCTTTATTCTTTCTCTCCCCACCTCCAATCATTCTTTTATTTGCCATTGATGTCTTATCAGAAATTGGCTGCCACCGTTTGATGATTATCAGGAAATGTATCATTTCCAATTTCTTCTGTCAGATATCTACACTTCTTTTGTTTCT